GCCAGCCGGGTGGGTCTCAGCCTGTCCTCCCTTCTCTTCCTGGACAGCTGCCCGAGGCAATCGGAAGGTGGCAGGTGTTTGGGCCATCTTGCTGGGGTCCTGAGCAGGTAGGTGACCCAGGTGAGCTAGCAGTGGGACTCGGGCGGCGGTGGGTCTCCAGGGCAAGGAGAGTGCTGAGACCCTGGTCCGTGTGCATCTGTTCCTCCGGTCGGTCCGTCCTCCACCGCACACACACGCAGGGCGGGTTCGGGTGAGCAGCGGAACCGGCGACCACAGCGGCCGTCCGGTGTCCGGTGTCCGGTATCCAATATAAGGTGTCCAGTGTTTGCAGCCGCGGCGGGTGAGTGACGGCCGAACGACAGGGGGGCTTGTGATCTTTGTGATCGATATACTGAGTGCTTACAGTGAGAGGAGAATCGGAGGCGACTTGGCGTCTTTATGGGAAGCTGTGGGGTCCAGGTGGTGGGCATGCACATGCGGTGAGTGTTTACGCCAGCCTGGGGCAGGTGCAGCCGGCAGAGGCCACCTGTAAGGGCCTTCACCAAGCTGCAGCTGCTGGGTGCTGGCGGCAGCACAGGCAAATCAGCGAGGGGTCTCTCCTGGCCCAGAGACCTTCCAGAGAGCCTCGAAACCGGTTTCAGCCCACGCAGAACTCCTTGAGCGCGTACCTCAGGCAGGGACATACTTGTGAGGGCGCCCCCACGTGGTACAGGGAGGGGCGGGCGGTGTCGCTTCCCTGCGGTTCTGGGTCAAGGCTCAATTCAGAACCTGGCTCCAGTCAGCTGGGCTGGAACTTTCTTCAACAAAAGTGAGCCAATCCTGGCCGCTCCTGTCCTAGGGGTTCACGGGTCTCAGGTGGAGTCATTGCTGTTTGAAGGTTTTCTCAATGGTGTCTCCCTCCAGTATGATCCCAGAGAAAGTGTGACTGCTTCTTCCTCAGCTCTCCAACAAGCCGCCCTTTGCTTCTGCAACAAAACAGTGCCTTCATAATTTTTTAATTTAATAAATTAGTGGAAGGAATACTTGGGTGAAGATTTGGCACAAATAGACTTTTCTAGGTACTTGATCCAATTGCTTTCATCACTGGCAATTTATTTTATTCTCAAAATTGTCATATACGTGAATAAGAATAAATGGAATAAAACAACCCAAAGACTAAAGACAGTGGTAGATGTTTAAAAGTTAATAAAAGTTAAACTAGGTTCTTAACTTGAGTGATATATTTCCTATACATACCACATTATTTTTATGATAGATTGGGCTGTGGGTATTATTATTTATTAGGCTCTGTATTAATTAGAAACATGATTATGTGGTAGAAAAAAATGGGAAGTGTGAAAGTCAGATCTTCAGATATCCTGGGAACTTAACCAAATTTAGGACTTTAGACATTTTCAGAGTGAGCAACAGGTGTGGCTTGTTGCTTCTTACTGGTCCTCTGCAAGAAAGGCCACACAGGAGAAGAAAAACAAGTTGGTTGAGCTGCACTTTGTGTTGGATCTCAAACAACTGCACTCAGTAAGACACACAAACATGACTGGGTGAATCAGTGGCTGCAAGGAGTGTCTCCTCCCAGTGAAAGTGGTAAAGCCCCTGGCTGGTTCATTTCCTCATGTTTATTTCCTGTACTTGGCCCAATAACTCCAAGGTAGATTTTATCTCACAACCCATGAGTTACAGAAATTCTCAGGTTAATTTTACATGTTGGGAAACTGAGTCCAAAGATGGGAAGTGATCTCCCACAGTCACAGCTCACTGAAGGCATAGCTGGGAATGCTGGGCTGGTGCCCTTTGAGGTATCTGATGAACAGCCAGCTATAGGGAAGCCTTGAATAGGGTGGCAGGAGAATCATCCAGAGCAAAGCAGCAGTCCAGTTTGATGACCATAGTCAACAGACACAGACACTTGTATTCTCTGAGGACACCAGGAGCCACTTGTCTTTTCCCAAGAATGAAAATAACCCTGGTGGTCAGGGTCTGTGATCCCTGTTATGTGAAAGACAGAGGCAGTCAGTATAGAAAGCCGAAAGCTTGCCTAGTCTACAATATATTCAAAACTGGCCTGGGCAACTTAGACTCTGTCTCAAAGTATAAAGTAAAAAGAGGCCTGGGGGTGCAGCTCAGCAACAGAGAAATTGCCTAGCATGTGCAAGGGACGGGGGTTAAGCCTCAGGACTATAAAACAAAACAGCCTGACTAATTAACCTTAATGCTTGGAGTCCATGTTTGCTACACAAGGTGAAACAAAAAGGGATTGCACACCTCTTTACATACATGCCATGGAAGGGAATATTGGGGAGACAAAGTATCTGGCAAGTAGAGAGCAAGAGGAAAACCTCACTACTGGGCCAGTGTGGCAGTCAGTGCTGTGCACATTCCTGGGTGTGGTGTTTTCTTCCTGGCCTCCTCTAAGCTTATCTACAGTTGATTGGGGTTGGGCTTCTTTTGCACTTGTTGAGGAATCTCCACCTCTGTAGTTCTCTTCCCAGGGAGGTTTTCTGGTCTTTGTTCTGAAATTTTAAAATTGGTGTCACACAGTGATTCTGGGCTCATAAGTAGCCATCAGTCAATGCAGTGGATATAGTCATTGCCATGATTTCTAGCCTCACAGCTCTCCCTGCCTTCCTCAGCTGTGAAATGGGACTGGTCTCTTGGAGTTAGAGAGTGGTGGAAGCAAGCTGACTCAGGCTAAGTATTTACTTTAGTGCCTGCAATAGTTAAGTGTTGGTTCTGTTATCAGAATACTCTGTGCCAAACCAGGGGAGGAATGAGTCCTTGGCTCTTTGAGGGAGTTAATTTTCAGCTCTCCCTGACCCTCTAATGCTATTTACTTGATTAAAGACTGGGGGTAGAGTAGAAGCTGCAGACCCTATCCATTGCTAGTTTTCTATCCTGTTTTATGGGCATCAACCGCTGAGGCCATGGAATGTAGCCATTTATGGAGGCATCCTGGAATTTCAAGGAGTCATTTACTTTATTTACTTACTACTTTACCTCAGGACCTTGGAGTCACATGTGCCAAAGAGCCAGATTCTTTCTGTGGAGAAGAATTCCTTCTGTAAAACTTCCTTTAGTGTGGGTTTGGTTTGCTCTACTCCACGAGGATGTGCTAGAACTAAAATACCATAAGACATTGACTCTGTACTGTAATACAGTTTGAAGACCATCTCAAAGTGTATTAACTGGGGGCCCTGACAGGGATATGCCTGGCCAAATTGTAGTCGTGGCATTCATTTTAATTCTGTTTAACCTTCCTCTTATTATCATGTTCCATTTAAATTCTGGTAGTTAAGTGTTGAGAGAAAATAGAGTGCAGGTAGGAACACTACATGTATCGTCAAGGCCCTGCTATTCCATCAATAATTAGAGAGTCTAAATGCTGCCGATGTCCTGTGGCACCTGACTACTGAGTGAGTTTGTCTCAAACAACTGTGTCCAAGAAGCCACTTTATAAGGAAACAGACAATAAAGGGAAAGAAAAAGGATTAAAGCTCACAAGCATGGGGGAGGGGTGGGAGCATTAAGACTCCTGTGGTTACAAAGCAGCCCACTACTAACTGTTCTCAATTTAAGTGTGTTTTGTTTTCTACAGAGAAGCAAGATGTGTTGAGCAGGCATGGTTACAAGCAAGATTACTGAAGCACTGTAGGCATGGAAATTGTAGTTGATCTTTTAGAATATATATGGTTCTGGAATGTCATAGTGAGACTTTTGTGCTTCCTATGACATTTGGAACAAATTAAAAGTTTTTTCTTCGTGTGTGTGTGTGTGTGTGTGTGTGTGTGTGTGTGTTCACACATATGTAGTGTTTAAGTTAAAAGTTAAGTGTTTAAGAGTTTGGAGCTGGGGAGATGGGTGGGTAAATAAAGCATGAGGGTGCATTAGGATCCCATGTGCTGTGGTGTCTAATCCTAAGAGCTTTCCAGTCAGCTAGCCTGGATGATCTATATAGCGCTGAACTACAAAAAGAGAAATCTTGTCTCAAACAAGGTAGAGAGCCTGGTGGCATGGTGGCATACATGTACACACACACACACACACACACACACACACACACACACACTCTCTCTCTCTCTCTCTCATAATATATGCATATGTCATACACACAGAGTGTGAAGGTTTGACATCTAAAAACATTTATCCACACAAAACTATGTAAAATAAACAGACTAGAAAAGGAAGTGCTTCCCTTAGTGCTACCTTTGTGATGCCATGCTTGCCCAAGGTCACAGCCTCTTTCCGAGGAACCTCCTGATAAACTTATACATCAAAGACAGAAGCTGGTGACTGTTTTTCCCCCAGGCATCTGGCCTGAAACTTCTGATTTACTAAATCAGGTTCCTGGAAAGGAGACAGCTAAGGGCTGGTAACCTTCCAGAATGTTTGTGCATGTTCCCTCTGTACTTGCACTGCTCTCATGGCTCTGCCGGGTTGCCCGGAAATGTCCTTTGTGAAGGAGAAAGCACACAGCTGTGTTCATGCAGAGCTTACATGATGGAACAGAAAGACATCATGCTCTCAGTTTTATCTCTTCTTTTTACAACTTTGAGAATGGCTTTGTTCCTCTACAAATATCCAAATGTGATATATTTTTTTCTTTTGGAGTGTGGGGAGGGTATTTTAATTTCCTCTTGTGACCTTTTGCTATTATTGTTGGTTCTTCTCAGCCATGCTATTGGCAGTTGGGAGACTCTGAGGCAATAATGTGTTTATTCAGTTGGAAAGAGGCCAGGCAAACCTCTGTTAAATTTCTGTTTCCCTGAGATCAGCCTGTACAAAGTTAGGGTTTTCCTGATAAAGTATCTCTTATGGGATAGAGGTTATACAAACTCTTAACACAACATCCCTTGGCTTTTTCTCCTCTTTCTCTTTGAAATAGAAAACTATATTTATTTTCTCCTGGCTTTCTTTACTAGCCTGCTCCTGTCCAGAATCTATACATTTTATTGCCTGATTTGGGCTGTTGCTCTTTGCAGGTTTGTCTACTGAACAGCCTTTACAGAAGAAACCATTCTGCTGAGTTCCTGTTCCAGTGGGTCACTATTGCTGGAACGTTCCAGCCTCTGGGAAGGTCTGTGGAGGTGCCCAAGTGCCAGCCTGCTGGGAGCATACTTGCAAGACGTTTCCAGAAGCTTCTGCTGCAGGTGGAGAAGTTCTTGTGATCAGCAAACATGCTGAGACAGATACTGTCAGATATGTTCATAGACCCCGACCTGCTGGCAGAGCTCAGCGAAGAGCAGAAACAGATCTTGTTCTACAAGATGAGGGAGGAACAGATCCGACGATGGAAAGAAAGAGAAGCAGCCATGGAAAGAAAGGAGTCCTTGCCAGTGAAATCCAGACCAAAGAAAGGTAAATCGAGCCACCCCTGTGCTGTGAATGAGGTAGCAGAAGGCCTGCTACCTTGCTGTAAGGGCTCACATCACTTTCTAGCTGGCCAAGCATGAGGTGTGACTTTGTGGTTAGACCCTATGTGACACAGCTTCTTAAATCATGTTTTCAACTGGAAGCCTGTATCTGCTCACACATAAACACATAGAATAGTCACCATGTAGTATTTATGTTTAAGTCTTTTGTCTAAAATCAGATTATCCTTGGGTAAGGTGTAACTCAGTGGCAGAGCACTTTGCCTAAAGTACAGGAGGCTCTCATTTCCAAACCAGCACCTGCATAAAAACAAAAGCCAACCTAGACTTGCAGGGGCATTAAGGAAGGTATTTATCCCCCTTAGCATTTGGCTTAGTATTTAACCATCACAATACAAAGTACTTGCACAGCAACTGTTCAGCAAGTATCATCAACTTCAGGTACTATTTAAAGTTACCATTAAAAGGAATGACTGTTAATACATAAGGAGCTTGCTGAAAGAAAATGGCTACAGTGCCTATGTTTAGCGTGGAATGATTTGCCATGTACTTCCTCATGGCTGAATGAATCCACAAGGGTTTGAAAGAGTTCTTTTGAGACTATCAGTGAAGAAATTCTTTGTTCATTGTGACCTAAATGTATATATGCACAAATATGGAAAGTGCACTTTAATTCCTCCCAACACACATATAAGCTCTGTCATGAATCAGTACTTAATTAAATAATACATGTACACACACACATGCTCACATGTACAAAATTTTCAAGGTCACTTACTGAGGTATTCATATTCAATTTTCCTTCAATTTTTAAATCAATAACCAGGAAAAGTAAAATTTTATAAAACCATTCAAGATTTCAATAGTTGAGAAAATCCCATTGGCATGCTTGCCAGATACACAGATTCTAAGTGGAAATCAGTTTAGTGGCCTTTGCTTCCTACATAGAAAATTCTTTTTATGAGGTCTATATACTGTTAAGAAAAACAAATATGAATGTTTTGGTTATTATTGTCTTATACACAATTCCAGGGCTGGGATGTAGATCAGGTTGAGGATGCTTGGCATGGACATACCACTATCACAACAGCAACAAACCAATAACCAAAAACTCCTAGATATACTATTTTTTAAAAAGAACATAGTAATAGCTTATTGGTATTTTAGCTGCTCTGTGAAACACATGCCTTGTGTCCTATCCTCCCAAAATGTTATGCAATGCTGGTATTAACTGTCCAATATTATAGGCAAACAAATACATAGATAAACAAAAAGCAACTGTTAGATATCTTATATAAGGAAAGATACACCCTGTACAGATACTCAGATCTGTAGGATTTCATGTTGCATTATCCAGATTACAACTTTTCCTTCAAACAAGCAACTGTGAGCTGAAACACTGGGGGCTGGCTTACCTGTTCATCTCCTTGCATCCCCTGGCACAGTTTATATCAAACAGCTGGGCTCTCCCAGGACATCACTGCAAACCTGATAATTTGCTACAGGAGGGTGACTTTGGGGACTGTTGAGCCCAGAAGAGTGCTTGACCCTGGTCCTTTACTAAACTGAGCTTCTCAAATTTGCTTTCCTTGTGATAACTTAAGGCAATTACTTCAATTTCTTTGCTTAGCTTTTTCCTTGTAGAGTTTTCAATATATGTTTTAAAAATATCCATATTACTTTTTTATTTAACGGATTGTAGAAGTTTGCTAATATGCTAATATAAAACAGTGAAAACTGTCAATATTGCTTATCAGACATTTATTATCCCTTTAAATCCTTTAGCACTTGGAGAAAGAAGGCTGACATTAAACCAGTTCCTCTCCTGACCAGAGAGCAGGAAGACTTTTCTACTTTGTCTAGAAAGCAAGTGCTTCTCATATTTAACCTTGCCCAGCATTTGGAGCTGAAGCCACAGGTGGTCCAAAGCAGCATCTGCCCAAGGGTACTGTCAGTGCTATTGACCCACGAAGCCTGTAGCCATCATGTCTTAGCCTCCATGTTTATCTTCATCTTTCTGGCATGTGCATCCTACCTCTCCCAAACCCTGCCTGACTCTAGCTTTTCCTGGCCTGTACGCTATTCCTGCTCTCAGTTCACAGCCAATTACGGCATTGGAGGCTGTCCTTTGTCTTGTATCCATCTTTTGCCCACTCCATTCCTTTATACCATTGTCTTTATCATGTTACAAGTTCTTTTTTCTATAAAACCACAAACTACTATGGGGCTCTTCTACCTTTCTGGAATCTTAAGGTTAATGCAGGAATGGCTAAGAAAATAATTGGCAGCAGGGATTTAGTCAACAATAGATCAGATATTTTGTGAATTCTCATGAGACATTGTCTTTCATAAAGCAGGAGATAGTTATGGATTGACTGTATTTGCTAAGTGACAGCTAAGAAATCTGAGGACTGGAATGAGGGACCACACATGGCTGTACCACTACTCTGAACTGAGATTTGATGAATGTGCAATGAAGATCCTGGTGGCATAGATGTGTAATTGAAGCCTGAGAAGGGTAGACTGCCTAGGCTACAAAGTGAGTTCAAGTCCAGGCTAGAGACCTTTGTGAGACCCTACCTCAAATAAAAAAGTAAAACATGGGCTGGGAGATGGCTTAGTGACTAAAATGCTTACCGTGTTTGTGTGAGGAATTGAGTTCAGATCTCCAGAATCTATAAATTCTGAGTGGTCTGGTCTAATCCGTGTGTAGTTTTACCCCAGAGTAAGCTAGACAAACTACATTGGTAAGCTCAGGGTTTCACTGAGTCCCTGTCTTACTGAATTGGGTAGAAGAGCAATTCAAGATGATTCCAGGCCACAACCTTGAATCATGGACATGCACACATATACAAGATATGTATACATACTCGCAAATATGCATACACTCACACCGCCCACACACCCCCCCAACAAACATGGAAAAATACTTTAAAATATAAGGAGCTGGGGATGGAAATACAGCTCAGAGCAGTCACCTATCATGAGAAGAACTGGGTTTAATTTCCAGTGCTTAGGGGGAAGAGGCTATAAACTACCAGATTTCACTGACTTAGGTAATAGGAATAAAAAAAAAAAAAATAGATGTAGAAATTCAGTATTGGATGTCTTGGATTGGATATATTATTTGAGTTAATTTCACCAGTTTTTAGGTGTTTAGAATATTAGAAAAGTTGTCCCTATGGATGTGGTCCCCATTTGGATGGTACTGCTCTTTGTTCTAGAGTCCCCCTAGGAAGCCCAGCCAGTGTGTTTCATGCTGGCTGTCTTATTCTAAACTGAGTGCTTCAGTGTATTATCTCACTAAATAATAGCAACCAAGCCTGCATCATAAAGTACTGTTTACATTTCATGGTGGAAGAAAGTGAAGCCCAATCATTAACTAACTTGCCTTGGGCAAATAGCTGGTCATCCTCAGGTGGAACAGACCCTGATTTTGATCTTCTCCAAAATGGTACTATGAACAAATGTGGTGCATGGCAAGTTTAACTGGGGCTTAGGAGAAGTTCTAAAGATGCCTTGCCCATATCTAAAACAGAAGTGACACTTTTCCTGTATGCTTTATCACATTAACACCATCAGAGAACATGGTTCCCCTGTATCTTTTTATATTGGCTCTTAATGAAACAGAGGATAGGAGCCCAAAGCCCAGGCAAAGACCTGGTGGCTGGGGTGGTGTGTCCTCATCTGCCTTTGAGATACATGTGCTTGAGATACATGTGGTAGTTTGAATGAGAATGGCTGCCATAGGTGCATGTATTTTAAGGTTTAACCACCAGAGAATATAACTGTTTGAAAGGATTACTGTGCTCAGTATAAAGCCTGACTTCTGAGGCTATGTAATGGAAGACCTGTGGTTCCTCTTCACTTCTTTTTAAACCTTTCTCCATCTCCCTTACCCTCTCCCTTTCCCTCTCCTCCTACCCCTTCCATGCATTCCTTGCTGGAGGAGATGTATAACTAGCATGAGCTTTGAGGTTTCAAGTGCCCAAGCCAGTCCCAGCATTGCCCCCAACCCCGCCCTTCCTTATCTGCCTATGGATCCACAATGCAGCTCTCAACTACCCCCCCCCAGCATCATGCACACTGCTATGCCGCCCACAATGATGAAAATAGACTACCCCTCAGAAACTAAGCAAAGCCCCAGTTAAATAGTTTCTTTTGTAAGAGTTGCCTTGGTAATGGTGTCTCTTCATAGCTATAGAACAGTGACTAAAGCTTGGATTCATCTCCATTTGTTGGATTCTTACTGTTCCCACAGGCATATTCCTTTTAGCGAGTCTTCTGTTTCCAGGAGGCATGGTTCCACAGAGCAGAGCTGGAATGCAGTGGGGTCTCTGGAAATGTTAGCTAGACAAATAGTTTAACCTTTTTTCCTCTATTTAGAAATGACTCAAACCCATATTGCCAGGAGACTTTTCACCAAGTTTTGGTCTGACTGTGATTACTTCATGAGAACTTCTATTCAGATGGTGCACTATCCCTGCAAACTTGCTAGAAAGAAAATTCTTCCCAAGTTTCCCTATGGTTCTTCATCAACCCCTGCTTCTGCTTGTCACACTGTCATGATGGCAACTCTGCTCTCTTCCTAGTTACTAAAGCTCAATGGCCGGGAGGCATTGTGACTCCTCTCTGACCCTTGCCTACCCCCAGTCACTGAATCTTACAGATTTCACTTTGCCTTTTCTGTTCCATGGAGCTTCTCCTATCAGGGTATTGGTCTGTTATTCTGTGGCAGGCTTAAGCTTCACATTGAAACTGTTTCATCTAATTCTTGTGAGAGCAGTGTTGTCCCCTTTCCTTTGCAAATAAAAAAAATAAATGGAAAGATGCAATTTGTATGAATCAGAGCTAGAACCAGCATTTGAATCCAAGTGCAGTTAAATCCAGGTCTTGTCTGAGCAGGCTGACCAGACCTCTCTCCTTACCATATTATCTGTCTAACTCTGAGCTACCTGGTACTGCATGTCTTCCAGTCACTGTGTTTCCCATCCCACTTTCTGCCCTTAAGCCCCATACTCTCCCTTCTTGATGTATTTCTTCTGTCTACTCTTTTGATTGGAAGTCTTACTCATCCATCCACCAGTAACTTCTTGGGACTGTGGTGTCAGGCATGTCACATAATTTTCTGTCTCTAAAATATGCATATGATTTTATTACATTGAAATGACTTTGGCGTTAATAACCAGCATATCTAGCAGAATGAGAAATTATAGAAGAAAAATACAAGTAATTTGAAGAAGACTTGATAAAAATTGGCATTGGCTTTCATTAAAATGAACACAGAGATGGATCTGGCTTGTTCATACCCCCATGTCACCCTATGAGATGAGAAAGAACACTATATTCACCTTGATTTAGGTGAACCCAGCTTATCCAGTATCTTATTGGTTCTCTTTCCACTCCTAGAATTTCAGTTTAGATCAAATCTTTAAATACAGGTTTTGCTGTCACAGATCAGAATGCAGTGGCTATATTATCTAGAAGTTCCTTTTCTGAGCTGTCACAGCATCACAATAAAATCTGGTTAGGAATGGCCTAGAGTAGTGTATAAAGTTGAGTATAGTGCAGGCATCCACCACTCAGAAGGGACAATGGCCATAGCATGAGGACTCAGAGGTCACTGGCAGCTGAAGCTCATAATTGGTTTCTGCTTGAGAATGAGGGTTCTTAGAAGAGAGGGCAGAGTGGTGAAAGAGACTCCAGGCACTTGTGGGTGGCAGTGTGTAGAATCTCAGGATTTTGAGCTATCTTAGTGTTGTCATGGGAGCCCAACTTCTGGCAGGCACATAGACCAACACTGAATTCTATCAATGTGCCATAGTATTATCTTGGGGAAATGCTTTTGCAGGAGCTCAATGGACTCACGATAAAGTAGGGTTAGGGATAGCCCATGTAATGATTAGTATGAGCATCCACTGATGCCCCAGGAAGGAGGTACTGTAATGCATCCCTGACTTGTCATGGGAAGCTTATAATCCTGCTGGACCCATCACAAAAGAAGCAGCAAACACAACAGTGTTATGTTGTAACATGTAAGAATATCAGTCTGACCATTTCCCTGACAAAGAGATAATGCCACTCCATTTTATGGGACCTTTTACAACACTGCCTCGTTAGAGGCTTTGCATGTAGGGAAAGTCTCTTAGTCCATAGAAAACACTTCTCTGAAGAACCAGGTGTGACTACAGGTCTTTGCTTGGCAGTTCTTTATGATGTAGTCCCTGAGCAAGATGGACCCACTTATCTGGAAAAGCTGGTTTTAGAATAACTGGGTAAGAGCCCAGCGATGGCAATCATAAGGAGACCTGTGGTTGTATAGTCACAGTTAAAAGCCTAGAGAAGCAAAAGACCTTGTAATTATGTGGAAGTGCTGTGCAAACTGCCTTCCTCCCCGTGTTCACATTTAGGAGTACATACATTTAGGAGGTAGATGGAAAATGCAGAGTGAACAGGTAGTGTTAATGAAAGAGATACTCTGCATGCCACGTTCAGCATTCTTAAGGCTATGGCTTTCCTTTAAAGAGGTGTGTTAGGGGCTGCATGGTTCTGCACATGCCTGTTCTCTGTTTTTTGTTTTTTGTTTTTTGTTTTTTTCTTTTTCCTCTCTCCTTCTGCTCCTCCTCTTTTAATTACCATGCCCCACATATTCCAGGCTGAACTTCAATTCTCTAAGTAGCCAAGGATGTTTTCCTGCTTCCACCTCCCAAGTGCTGTGAGTACAGGCCTGCGCCACCATGCCTGATTTTATGGTTGTGTCTAAAGTTGAGTCCAGACATGGTATGTTAGCACTCTGCCAGCTGAGATACATCTCCAGCCAATGCATTCCTTTTACCTCTAAGCTTTTCTGTCCATCATTCCCCTTTGACTTTTCCTTGCATCCTTACCTCCTCACCTTCCAACAGCCCAGGTATAAGCTCTATCTGTTTCCTCATACATTGTGGAAATGCATGCTGAACCCTCTTTTCACTGATGAACTCTAGAACACATACCTGTTGCCTAAGCCAGTTCTCACCATTCCATGTCCCTGATATTTGCTGTCCCCTCAGCATCATTTAATGCCGCCTTTCTCTTCCCTCTCCTCTGCATGGCCATGCACTTTCCCAGTCATCTTCTACCCTACTTAGTTATCTGGGGAATCAGAATTTTCCACTTGCATATTATTTATATAAATGATTTGAATTCTTTTCCTCTGTCTCCAAAGAAACCCATGTTTCTCCAAGGATCTCTTCTTGGTTTCCTTCTCTCTGTGAGCCCAGCTATTCCAGTGACTTCAGTGATATATGTAAACTAATTTCCAAGTCCACCTGGCCAGTCTCAACCTCATTTGCTTTCTGAACCTACTCAAGGGATTCTGGAGGTGCAGAGGCAGAACACAGGGTACTCACTGGAGAGACTTGGAGCACCTGGCTAAGGGTGACATTTTGAATCTAATCCTTTTACTACTTGCCAGTGTTTCTTTGTGGTCACAGTACTCCCAACCCCCCTTCAGTTTTCTGTTCTCTTTTTGTGTCTCTCCTACTTTGAGTCCCTGCACACTCTCCTCTGCTCATCTGCAGTCCTAGCTTTTGTCTGTCCCACCCTAGGGCAAGACCTTCCCCATAGTCTGCAGGCTGCAGGTGGCAGTGATGACTACAAAAATTGTTTTGGGGACATTCATACTGTGTCATAGGTGAACAACTCTCTGGGCTCTGAGTCTGCCTCTCTTGGCAACCAACCATGGTCTGTTCTAGGTGTCAGTATTCTGTGTCAAAAATATTAGCAGAGAGTTACTTAAGTGAAGGTTAAGAGATGAGCATAATAAAAATATTATAGCTGGCCTCAGGGGTGTGCAATAGAGGCAGTTTTATGAGGTGTGACAGCTTTCTAGAGTTAGTGAAATATTTGACATGTCCTGAAACCGCACGGCCAGTAAAGGCTGACTCCAGGGCCTACCCCCAGAAGAGCGCCATGTGCCATCTGTCCTTAATCCTGGGCTCCACCCTCACTGTGTCTCTTGCTGTGACAACAGGGTCAGGGAAGTTCCTTCTGATTTTTAGGTCTGTGGTGAAGATTGCACAAATCTGCCTCACTCTGCTCAGTGTTTTTTTTTTTTTTTTTTTTTTTTTTTTTTTTTTTTTAGAATTCCCCGAAACTGTGGGATTAGATCATCTATCTGGGGAAGAGCAGAAAATGGAGCTCAAGTCTGGCAGCCTGCTTTGTAATACAACTTGAGACAGCACTCTGAAATGGGCCAATAGTACATGAATACATGGATTGCTTAGCTTAAGGCCAATGGCAGCCCCAGTGTGGATTTCTGGATCTGCATCTGCTACATCCCATTCACACATTTAGCACCCTTGGATGGTTTGAGGGTGTTGGCTAGACCTAACTTTGGACCACAATGACCTGAGCAGATCCCAGATCTGTCCCTTTACTTCAGGGACTATATTTCTTGGTCTCTCCTAATCACACATCACATTTCCCTGGTCTCAGGGACCAAGCTCCCATCTGGCTACATTTCTGGAGCTTAGAAACTAGATGTAATACATCCACCAGGACCAATTACAAACAAGGGTTATTTAAGTAGCCTCACCAAGTGTCATACTACCCAGGTAGTATTATCTTCTCACATGCTGGTGTGAATCTCCAAGCAGCCCATAAGTAAATAATAGGCTGGCTGGTGTTAGCAGTTAACCTCTGTTGAACTCCTATTATGTGGCAGATACAAGGGCATCCTTAGCATGCCAATTCTTACAGCCATCATTGTAATGGATGGTAGTATTCCTATTTGGCAGATGAGGATATCGAGTTTTAAAGATATGAATTTTTCTACATCACATAGCTGGTAGGTAGCAAGGCTAATATTTGAATAAAACCAGTCTAACTTTAAAACACATGCTTTTGAGGCCATGTAATGGTAGTGGAAACACCAAATGCTTGAGCAGCTGCTCCATTCTGGGTAATAGGAAAATTCTTAGTCTTAAGATGTGGTAACCGATGGTAGCTCACTCTCTTATCCTAAATGATAACGATCACTATGAAAGCATTCATCCTCTCTCAGCATCTGGCAGGTGCAAGCACCAGGCCCATTATATTTGTAAAGAAACTGTCACAGCCCCTGAGCAGGTTGAAAGTGATTTGTTTTACCAAGCTGCCTCCCCAGACTGAAAATACTAACGTAATCAGGATGCATAATATCCCATAAATAATTTGTTCAACTCAAATTTTGTTCTGTTTGCAGAGAATGGCAAATCTGTGCATTGGAAGCTGGGCGCTGACAAGAAGGTGTGGGTTTGGGTGATGGGTGAACACCATCTAGACAAACCCTACGACGTGCTGTGTGATGAGATCCTTGCTGAGAGGGCTCATCTTAGAGCAGTGCAGGACTCAAGGCTCAGGTAGGAGACTGGCTGCATTTCAAAAGGGTGTGTGCATTAGTTCCCTCTTTTCATTGCTGTGACAGAATACTTGACCAAAGCAGCTCAAGGAAGTAAAGGTTTCTTTGTCTCAAAACCAAAAAGGGATAGAGTCCACCGCGGCAGGGAAGGCATGGTTGCAGGAATCTGGTCTCATTATGCCTATAGTCAGACAGCAGGGTGAGCAGAAGGTGGGGCTGGGGTATATAACATCCAGGCCTGTTCCCAGTGACTCCCTCCCTCCAGTGAGACTCCATCTCCTAAAGGGTCTACAACATTCCCAGTTAGCGCCATCAGCTAGTATGCAGACACATGAGCTTGTGGGGATATTTCACATTCAAAAACACACTGCAGAGATACCTCTTGCTCACAGCTTGTGGTAGGAGAACATGGGGACATTTGAGGGTCGAAAGAATCACGTTAGATCTTCCTAGAAAGATCACTTGAGCGTTCAGAAGTTCCTTTCTTTCTTGCCGGCAGTGCTGCCAAACTATGGCTCTGTGGCTCTGACAAACACCCCGGTGCTGGTTTGCATGAGCATGCTGGCTGCCGTTCCTCCACCACTGCTCCATCAGCAATCTTTCTGCAGCAGCACCACAGGATGCATCCAAGTGTTCGGTGCATTTATGAGAGCTGAGCCAGCTGTCTGCAGCTGCATGGCAGAGTTCCTGTGACAGGAACGCAAAGCAAATCAGAAGAATTCATTTCAGCTTAGGAGGAAACAAGGAAGGATGGATCCACAAGCAGCTGTTGCAATGCAGGCTGTGCTCAGAGGGAGACTAGGCTAAGGTCTAAACTGAATCTCCTTGTTTCAGATGGAAGCCCAGCCCTCGGATGCATAGAACAGGGGAAATCTGAGTTGAGTCTTCAAGGAAGAGTTGGGTACCCAGCTATGGAAGGTTAGGAGAGAAATTCAAGTAGAGGGCATGATCAGAATTCCTCAACTTGGTTTTGAACAACTCTATGGCGAGTGGTGAAAACTTCTGAGTGCTTGGGGTACACCAGCTGTGTCGGGAGTGGTCTTTGTGGGGTTGCAATCAGAGCCAGCTGAGCGGCCCCAAGTCCGTACCTGAGTGTGGATGAGGGAAAGCCTATCTATAGACAATAAAGAAAGACAGACAGAATAAAGGTCAGGAAGGCAGATCAGTCAATACTGAAATGCCCCAAGTTTATATTTCAGCACTCTTATATACCTTATCCAAAAAGGGGAACACAGTACATATATATGAAACAAACAGACAAGTAACTACACCTTAGCTCCAACTTCTTGTTCCCTAGCCTTGAGGTCAGGAGTAGCCACACCTCAGATTCAGGTCTGTTGTTATTTAGACTAAGACAGCCAAAAGCATCCTTCTGTAGGCACACCTTTGACCTTTAGGTCTTATGACTTGCTGACAGCTTTGAACTCTCTGTCCTTGTGCCAAGATGGAGTGCAGCCATCTTTATGGGCACCCATACAGGTGAATGCCAGAATCCTCCAAGGTGCTCTGAAGGGTAGGTGTAAGAGTCTGAAATTTCTAGGGGCAGTGAGATTTTCATGGGAAATTGATAATAGTCAGCTGAACACAAAAGTGACTTGGAATAGAGGCAGGTGATGATCATCTCTGTTGGGTACCCTCTTTGAGTTCTGGGTAGCCTTGCTCTGAACTGGTGAGCTCAAATTGGAACAGATGCATGGACCTAACTTCAGTGCCCAAAAGCTAATAGTGTCTTACTCAAGTTCTCCTGTTGTTAAAACTATAAATGAGCACACAGTGATGCAGAGGATATTCTTTGAATGGCCACATGAAGGCAGAATGTACTACTGGCAGCCTAGCTAACTCTGGGTTCAAATCCTGACAAAGCCATTATGTGATCTTGGGTAAATTATAGTATTTCTTTGAGACTTTTATTGCAAAGCAAGGATAACCTCAGATGGTTGTTGTGAAGAGTTAGTTAATATTTTTAAAGTTCTAGTTAAAGACCTACCAGATGATAAGCATAATAATAAGCAAGCTGCTGCTGTTTTTCACATTGCTTGATTGTAGACATCTGCTTTGGAAGGGCTGTTCCTGCTGAAGAATGTTTTGATCATTTCCCTGGTGTTTCTCTGCAGGAAAGCTCTGGCTGAAGAATCCACCAACAGCTTGGGAACAAAATCACAAAACTGTGGTGAGCAAACACTAGGGAAGCTGGAGTCTCAGGATGTCACTGGGAAAGCAGCTGCAGAGCAGGCATCAGGGCCAGGACCCAGAGCAACACCAACCAAGAATGAAGACAAAGCCCACGTGAGTCTTACCTACACACCAATGTGCAAAATCCCACACCCAGGGAGGGGGAGGGAAGCAGCCATTGATACAAATAGAGTATGGACTGCAAGCTCAAGCACCTCCAACCTTTAAGGCCCTTCCATTCACCTTATATAGGTGGATAGGGGCATTTTTTTTAAACCTTATACTTCATGTGTACGGTTAAGCATCACATTTCCCCCAGTTGGGCTGGTACCTTAGTAAAGTTTCACATTTTTAAAGGTTTTCAACCTCCCTCTCCCAATTCTGTAATAGAAGATTATAAACATTTTTTGTTTGTTTGTTTTTTTTTTTGTTTTTTCCTCAGTAAAAGTCACATAGTAAATAAGGTAGGCTTTGTGGGCCAAACAATTCTTGTCATGACTGTATACAAATGATCCAGTATGGATGTGGTCCAGTAAAGCTTTACTCACAGATACATGACGAACAAGACTTAGACCATTCCCAAGTTAGATTACATTATGTGAGTCTTCCTTTTTATAAATGCAAGGGCTCTAAACATGAGTATCCTTTTGGCTTCATGGATTCTGCATATGATATAGAGACAGTTGCTTTCTCCATAGAATAGAATTTTATGCTAAGAACTGGTGTGGATTCTTTTATGGACCAAGTACTTTAGAAAGCTCAAATATAATTTGCTTCTTGGATTATAGTTTGGAAGAACAATAAAGTATATTACAAAGTACAGTATTCTGCCAAAAATTTAATTACACTGTGAATTAACAGAGGATTTGCTATTCCTCTTGAATGCTTACATTCAAGTCCATGTGTTTTATAAGTAACTAGGGCAGCTGTCTGAAGCTCCCTTTGAGGCTGGCCCATGGGGATATGGTTATCTCTGTCCCGCCCACCTTCTTAGTCTGATAATATTCTAATCATTAATATGACTCAAGGGTTACTATGTGGCAAAGGCAGATCAGGCCCCAGAATGTCTCCTTCAGTGTCTGCAATACTGTCAATTAGTTGCTGATTTTCTTTGTCCATTTTACTCATTTTTATGTACCTCTGTGCACATGTGGGTACAGGTATGTGTGCATGTATATGGAGGCTAGAAGACAATCTTTAGTGTCATTGAGAAGTAATCCATTTACCTCATTTTAGATAGGGTCTCTCAGTAGCCTGAAGCTCACTAGTCAGATCAAACTGGGGGCCCGTAGACAAGATATTCTCCTGTTTCTGCTTCTGCGGTGCTGGCATTGTAAGCATGCACCACCCGACATCTCTACATGGGTTCTGAGTATTGAACTTCAATCCTCACACTTGTAGGGCAAGGGTTTGCCTGATTGAGCCTTCCTGACACATTTGTCTTTGTCTTACAAATGAGAAAACTGAGGGTAGGATTGGTTAAGCAACATGCTAGTCTTCATGATCTCCAAGTCACTCCTCAATTGTTAGTTCTTTTTTTAGAGATTTATTTATTTGATTTTTACTTTATGTGTATGAGTCTCTGTATGCATGTATGTGCACCATGTATACACATTGCTTAAAGAGGCCAGAAGAGGGCGTCAGGTTCCCTGGAGTTACAGACAGCTGTGCATTGCCATGAGGGTGATGGAGACAAACCAAGGTTCCCTGGAAGGGCAGCCAGTGCTCTTAACCGCTGAGCTGTCTCTCTGGCCCACTCAACTGTTGACTCTTACTAGTTAGAGACTGTGTCCTTACTGTGAAACTTATGAAGAAGTGACACACATATCAGCCTTGGAATGTTTAGTGCAAAGTTCTAAATTTTGGTTTGGATCCTCACATCAGTCCTGAGGACTTCCCTCATCTTCTCAATGAGGCTTTCTCGTACTTACTGTGGACTCAGCATATTTACAATAAACTCTCTCCAAACCACTCTGTAACACCCCTAAAGTGAAGAGCAGTAGCAACAACCTCAAGGAACACCAAGTGCACCTGCTTATCTTTGTGCTTGAATTACATTGTCAGAGTAATTAATTTTTCAAAACTAAGATAAAAGATGAAAATAGAAACTAAACATCTTTAGTCCCAGCACTCAGGAGGCAGAGGCAGGCAAATCTCTGTGAATTTCAGGCCAGCCTGATCTACAGAGCGAGTTCCAGGATAGCCTCCAAAGCCACAGAGAAACCCTGTCTCAAAAAACCAAAACATACAAACAAACAAACAAACAAAAAACAAAAACAAAAACAAAAAACCCAGAACCTAAACATATCATAAGATTAGAGTAGTACTATCTCCTTCCCTTGTCTACTAAAGTTTCAAATGGAAAGTGATGGGGAAGGGAGTAGACATTTAGTTAGGTTCCAGAAATATGGATGTTGGTTTTTTTTTTTTCTCTTTCTCTCTATTTCTGCTTTCCCCATGTTACAGGTGGGATCCTATAAAATTCTGCTGGGATGTTGGCTGAAGTTCCTTCTAGCAGTGGGATGCTCAGGGAGGCTTTGATCTTTGCATTTGAATGGCAGTCTCCTTATAATTTGTAGACTCTACTTAATGGTGAACGTATATTTTGCTTGTAAACCCTGACTATGTTACTACAGTGTAAACTAGCGACTCCATCATAGTTTTGTGTGTCAGCCAAGTGAGATGAACACTATCTAGTAGAATTTGTGGATGAGTAAAAGAGACAATAAATACAAATGTACCAAGTTGATCCCTAACATCTGCCAGGTATTTGGCTGATTCCCTCGCCTCCTCTTTCAATAATAGTTTTAGCTTACAGAAAGCAAGGACAGCATCCCAGGCCTAACTTAATTACTAATTTATTTTTTCAAAACTAAAGCCTCAAGATAACAAGTTGGAGTCAAAATAACCACTGCCACCAGGAACTTTACTGGTGGGGAGGTGGGGAGAGATTTAACTGATGTTTAATTTTGCACAGTAATAAGTGCTCTGAGGGAAAGTATGGGTTTCCCTGCCATAAAACTTGGGCCAGTGCTTCCTGAGTGGCCATTATGAGGACTTGAACAAAGGGGCTACAGTTCCAGCCAATGGCAGCATGGAAAAAGACTTTGAGGGAATCAAGCAGAAGGGGAAGTGTGAATGTCTTGTTACACTGGGAGTGGGCAAGGGCAGATAGGAAGGGGATGGGTCAGTGTTTTACTCTATTTTCAGAAATAATTGGAAATCTCCCATGAGTTTTGAACAGCTTTACATTTTGAAAAGAATTGGTCCGTCTTACATTACTATGATTGCAGAGCAGGTAGCACAGCCATGCCTCTAAACTTCCTGTCAAGGGGGCGGGAAGCCACCAGGATCCATAGAGGCTCCTGGAAGAGGACCTGTGGTTTGGACACAGGGAGGGCTTCCCATGCTTCCCGCAGCAGTAGATGGGGTAGAAACCCATCTGACATATACCCACATGCTGTTTGCCTTAGAGCTTTTTCTCATGCTGTCATTTCATTTCCCATTCATTTCATAACTTCTTCTGACATATAAACAAAACAACTACAAGGATTTCTTTTATAAAATAAAGAAATCAGTGCTCAAAGAGATGGCAAGGTATGCCTCTAAATCACAGATTGGAGTGGCCTTGTTTTGTGACTCTACCTCAGTCACCACTCTCATAATTCTGGTATGTTTTTAGACAGGACAAAAATATTTGTCACCATATCCTAGATCTTTTCCTTCAGATGAGAACTCCTGTAGGAAGAAGTTAGAGTAAGGAGAGTCATCTTTCTATTTTTTTAAATTAATTTTTATTTAAATTAAAAACAATTTTATTTTACACACCAATCCTAGTTTCCTCTCCCTCTTGTCCTCCCATTTCCCCCACCATCTCCCCATCCCACCCCCATCCAGTCTTCAGGGATGGTGAGGCCTCCCATGGGGGATCATCAAAGTCTGTCACATCATTTGGTGCAGGGCCTAGGCTCTTACCCCATGTATCTAGGTTGAGAGAGTATCCCTCCATAGGGAATGGGCTCTCAAACCCCATTCTTGCACTAAAGATAAATACAGGTTCCACTGCCCTGTAGACTTCTCAGGCCTCTCAACTGACACCCATGTTCAAGGGACCTGGTTTAGTCTTAAGTTGGTTTCCCAGCTGTCAGATTGGAGTCCACGAGCTCCTACATGCTCAGGTCAGCTGTTTCTGTGGATTTTCCCAGTGTAGTCTTGACCCCTTTGCTCATCACTCTTCCCTCTCTACCACTGGATTTCAGGCATTTGGCTTAGTACTTAGCTGTAAATCTCTACTTCTGCTCCATCAGCTACTGGGTGAAGGCTCTATGATGGCATTTAAGGTAGCCAATCCACTATTGCTTAGATTCTTAGTTGGGGTCATCCTTGTGTATTCCTGGAGATTTCACTAGTGCCAGATTTTTCTTTAAATCTATAATGGCTCCCTCTATTAAGGTATCTCTTTCTTTGCTCTCCTTCTCTGTTCTTCCCCCAAATGAACCTTCCTGATCCCCCATGCTCCAGGAGAGTCATTTTATATGTTTCTAAAATGAACTTCAATTCCTAGAAAAGATTTTCAAGTTTTAGCTACAGTTTATTCTAACTCTGCAACAAAAGGATATTGTCTTTAAAATTCCATTGTCTTAACAGGCCTAAACTCTATTATGATGAAAAAAAATATCTCTAGATACATTGTGTGTGTGATGGTCATGGTATATGCACATGTGTATGTGCCCACACTTCACTGAGGCCAGAGGAGGATGTCAGGTGTCTTGCTCAATTATCCTCTATCCTATTCCTTTGAGATTTCCTCACACAGGTGTTTGTCCATGGCCTGGCTCTAGTCTTTTGCTTTTTGCTCTATGTGTACTTTGCATGAATTATCACAGAGTGGCCTGGTGGTTCTACATGAGGGGGAGAACCTAAGGGCATGTGGTAGAGTTTGTTCCTGGGACCATCTGGGAAAATCTCATAAATTTGGGGGCCTCTGGTGTTTTATCTTATAAGTATGTATGGAAGTAACAGAATATGTGGGTCACAAAAACAAAGGGAGAAAGGAGACAGTAAGTGGGGACAAAGGGGACAGGAGATAGTAGTAAAGTGGAGAATGAGTAAAA